ATACAGCAGAAATTGTTAACGATATTAATGATCTTTTCAGCAGTGATAATTCAAGTGACTGATAATTCAAGTGAATAAAAACAGTTCTTTAAAATATTGCATTACTAAAAACGCACCACATGTGAAATTTTGGACTAACATGTTAAAAAAAAAATTAATTCTGGGAAATTTCAATCAGTTAATAATAAAATTAAAATCATCAGTCTTCCTGTTAAGTCTGGTTGGATTTTTACAATACAAAGTATTCAGAAAATTTGGAAAGCATGTTTGGAGAAACGGCTTCACCTATTTAAGAACGAGATATTTAAATCAAGACCCTGTAGAAAATTTATTCAGTTTTGTTCGGCAATGTGGTGGATTCAGTGATAATCCAACCTTTTCACAGTTTATTTCTGCCTTAAAATGTACTGTTAATAATTTAGTAAGTAACCAAAATAGAGGCTCGCATTGTGAAGAAGACGGGGTAACACTTTTAGAAAAACTTCAGAATTTTTTTGTGAATTATCTTGAGAGCGGTAATATTATATTATAATAATGAAAATGAAGAATTTCAAAATTTAATTACTCATATGGGTTACTCTAATTATGTTTTCCCAACAGTTTCCTTAATTATTTTGTGGTGTATGGTTTCTGATGTGTCGTTTATCACATCAGCTACAGATGACATGCTCTGTTGCCGACAGAAGACACAGAATAAAATCCTCTTATTACTCATTTTACTCATATGTAAATAAATAAAATATTTATGTACTCATACTTATATACCTATAGTGTATGTACCTATTTATACTTTAATTATAAATCTCTTTAAGAATTTGGAGGAGAAAGATAAATATTTTATATGTAAAGAATGAAATTTCTTGCCTCTTTCAAATTTAAATTGATATGGATGTTTACTGAGGATATTATTTTTATTCATATTCACGCCAGTAAAGTGTCTGGTTGATTTAAAAGAAGTTTATCAGAAAGAGAAGTAGACTGTTGTATGCTCATACATACTTTAAATTCTTTTAAATGCAGAGCAAAATTTTAAAAATAAATTTGCCGATTGAAGAGTTCTTTATATAAACAAAATGCTCATAAAAATGTTTCTGCACAAGAGAGTTCATCTTAGAATTAAATCTATTGCTTTTAATCTGCAGAAAAAGTTCTGTTTCTTACATTTAATATATTATTTCTGTGCATTTAAAATTACCATTGATGCTTTCTTCAGTCCTAAAAAACTACATATATTTCTTTAAAGATTAACACATTTTTTTTATTGCAGAACATCAGTGCTACCAGCAACCCTATTACATGCAGACCTTTTTTTAATTCACTTGGTACACATGGCGGTTTTTTAAAGGAATGCTTTAATGCACGGGAGAACTACAAAAGTGCTGATAATGAGTCTGTTATTAAATCTGAAGAGATTAAAATAAAACTGGAAGATGATCAGGACGGGCAAGAGAAATATGAAAGTGTTGAAATGCCGGTTTATATCAAATTTGAGGAAATTGAAATAAAGAGAGAAGATGATCGGGATGGGTAAGAAAGTTTTATTAAATGTTATTACTACTTAGTACCTACGGCCTATGTCTAGTTATTCTGTGCAAGAACAATCTTAGCGAATGTAATTCAATGCTGGGCGGGGTTTAGTCCACAGAGTAGTTGTTTCCTACAATATCATTAGTTAAAAACTTTGTTTCGACTGGTACAATACTGTCCTTACTTCCATAGTACTTACAAATTAGAAGGTCAGTAAGTACAAAACTGTGCTTTGTGCCAGTAGCAGTGATCATTAAGATAGACACTTTGAAGTATATCTCACCCACACAAATTTTTTGATATAAATTGTTGCAATACCAATTAATTTTTATTATGTTTTGATAGCAGACATTTCGTTATCAGTAATATAGAAAATTTGAAATTTGATTAGAAACATCTCATTTAACTGTTTTTTATTTTCTCTTAATCAGTTTCCCAAAACACTTATTTTAATTCCTGTTTATTTCATTGTGACCATTTTTAAATTTTTCAGTGTTCCTTCTTCGTATGACTTAGACGCTGAGACAATTGAAAGCAAGAAAAGACGCATTTCAGAAGATGGAGGAGTAATAAAAGAAGAATATAAACGCAATGTCTATGTAACACACAAGGACCCTTCTGAAATCGAAATGTATAAGTGTAATACATGCACCTATGAAGCTAAAGATAAGAACACAAGGCGCCTTAAGAAATGCAAATGTACAAGTGTGATATGTGTAGTTATGAAACTAAAGGGAAGTGTCATCTGAAAGCACATCTGTTGGTNTCCCCTTTGTCAAACGATAATTAAGTAGTAAAAACAAATTAAAAATCCACATCTGCGCTTGTATGTACTTATTGCGTGCGCTTGATGCTTACTCATTCCCTTTTCGTATTTTGTGTCTTGTATCACGCTTTCTGTCGCGAATATGTCCTTAAATTCTAATATAAGGAAGATAGAACCTACCATAAGGTTTGCTTGATTGCGGAAACACGTAGAACGTCGGCCAATTAGAAGCGCTTGCATTTTGCTAGTCCAAACTCCAAAAGCATTCTGGTCGTGCACGTTCACAAGATGCTCAGGATTTATGGTTAATTTTCCTAATTAATTTTCTCGGAAACAGAAAAGAAGGAAAGCACTGATTTCAGAAATACCCTGTATAATTAATGTTGTATTTTCGATCGAAGAGTTCAACATTTAAATACAAAATACACATCATTCCGCCAATTATCTGTTATGAAATTATTTTTGTATCGAGATCCGCATAAATCAATTCCCACTAGAGATCCATATAATTTATACGTATGATGCGGATCTTGCCCACTAATACCCACGTCTATTGGATGAGTAGAACGTTTAGAATTTCTTATAAAAAGAAAAATAATGCAACCAGCAAACTTGAACAAAACATTTTGCAAACTGTGTCTAAGTAGTGCGATACGCAATACAAATTGCCAAAAAATAGATGATAGTGACATTCTAGAAATTGTTTTGCTGAATGTGGTAAAAGGAAGTTATGACGATACGAGTACATTTATATCATCGATTTTATAAGCTCAGCTATCATTTATATAAATTAATAACGAATATGTTTCAGAATTTGGAGGGTTACAGATAAATGTTTCGTTTGTGAAGGATGTTCCAAGAAATGATTTGCCGCTTTTAATTTTAAGTCAATATGTACATATACTGAGAATATTATTTTCTCCTATAAAGCACATGCAACACGAAAATTCTACAAATATTCAAATATACACGTGTAATACATGTAGCTATCAAACTAAATATATTTTTAATCTAAAACTGCATCAGTTACGGCACAAAGGCCTT